ATATCTAGCCTTATGGAAATTTTGCCTGGAAGCCCAGGGACCAACACCGCACCCTCCTTCTGATGTGGCAGGCTAGATTGGAGGGTAGGGATAGCATGAGTGGCGAGAGGGCATGTGTGGTCTGACCATCCCTTCATATATGTTAGGCTCCAGATCCCCTTTTGCATAGGTCCCACTGTAATGGCGGCTTGTCCTTTGTTCTGTCTTCTCAGTATCTACCTCCTAGGCCAGCTTGGGCCTACTCTAGAAGAAATGGGCCAGCATCATTCCTTGAGGGCTGATGGCACCGTATTTAGCCTCCAGGGAGGATGCTTAGTGCTGAAAAGATAGCTGCTTGCATCTAGCACAAAGGTAAGCCATCCATGAATTCTGCCTGGTGCGAAGTATTGTTGTTTCTTGTGAAGGCGTGAGGTCAGAGTAGGTTTTGTCACTTCAGTTCCAGGATGTACCAGCCTGTGTCTGGTTGCCCCTATTTGCAGAGCTTGGTTCCCTTGCTCCAAGCTTCTTTTTGGGGAAGGTTGTGGAATTCCTTGCACTCACCATCACCAGCGCTGTCCTGAGGATTCTGAAACTCTTTATGCAATGGCAGTCCAGTGTGCTTGGATCAATGATGATTCCTAATCAAACATTCCTTGGAAAGCTGAATAAAATGAATGAAAACTCATTACCACCTGTCTCATTACGAATGAGGTCTGGGACCTTGGGTTCACCCACCTTCTCTGGGTGTCAGACATAGAATGGGAATCCATCCTCTGCTCTTCCCTTCCTTCAGCTGTAGCCACACTGCGTCTACATGGGCCTTTGCTTTCTCAGCTCAGCTAGAAGAGTTTATCCTTTAGCAAGACAGGCCTCTGGGATATGCTGGGAAGCTGTGTTTGGTGTTGAGGAGATGCATTGCCCATATTAATCGGGGATTAGCAGTTTCGGTCTGGTGTGCCCTGCAGGCACATTTCAGCCTCTTTAGGCTTGTAGCAGTGGGCACAGTGCTGTGCTCTGTCTATTGTGACTGAGGTCCTGAGTGTCACCTTCCTTGAGGCCAGGTAGTGGCAGTGGTGTTGCATTGCTGCCATGCTGAGACAGTCCGAAGTCAAGCCTGCACATTGTATGGGTTCTGTGACTCAGCCTCCTAGGTTCTGAGGGCATGTGGTGACATTTGAGAGTAGGACCCCATGTTGAGGGCAAGGAGTAAAACTGTGTTTTTTTGGTTACCTGCCATTTTCTCATGTGCCCTTCTTTGTATTTCTGTAGGTGCCAAGGAAGTGAGTGAGATGATGAGAGGCAGCTCTATATCTTTGTAATTTTTAATTTTATTTTTTGTCCCATTCACACTGCTTTTTGTACCACAGGGCTGATATCCCTTTGGTGAAGACAGGTAGAGGCATGAGCCTTGTGGACCTGTGTATGAATTAATTGGTTGTAAACTCTTTTGGATGGGACCCTTGTTTGTAGCCGTTTTCATTGTGGTGGGAAATCTACATGAAACATTGGATATTCTTCTAGTAAAGCCGATGAATGTGGACGTACTGTGGATGTCCTCAGAGATCTAGGATGGGATGGCTTCTGTTGGCTCAGGTCTTCTCAAAGTCAAAAAATTCACCCATTGGGTCATGTTTTACTTTTTTTGCTTTCTCTTTTGAGATGTAGGTGCGCCTTTTTGTGGAAATGTTGGATTGGCTTTATGTGGATATGTACTTCACATAGCCTGTGGGTCATGGCTGTCAACCAAGATTGGCTTGAGACCCCTGTCTATGAACAGAGACCAAAGGAAGTGTCCTTATAATTATATGTTGCAGGTTACCTTGGTGGAAATTTTTTTCCTGATCGGTAGCAACTCTCTAGTGTGATCTCAGCCTCATTGGTTTCTCACTGTGTGGAATCAGCAGGAAAAGTTAGGGTTGATAGAGTGCCTTGGCTTGAAGATACCTTTCCTGGTTCTTTGAATACAGGCATCTACTGATAGAGAATGTGTTCGTGAATGAGAGACAGAGAGACAGAGACAGAGACAGACACCAAATCACAGTCCTAGGTAAAGGTAGACATGGAAAGAGAGAAAAGTTGGTGTGATTTTCAATGTACTTTGTAGTCTGAGAGCTATAGCAGAATCTTTATTGCCCGTTTAGTTCTGGCCTGTGTCGTGACAGTGTTGTGTAGGACCATGAGTCTTGTTGAAAATAGGGAGGACGACCTCCTTTGAGGCAGAGATATGTCTGTGTGCATGGTTTGCTCATGACTCTGACCTGAGCTGTGTCTTAGGTCTCCAGTGCGATTTTGCCATGGGAGACTCTTCCCCAGGTTTTGTGTGTTTGCAGTTGCTCTTGGGAATTTCATGCAGGCGGAATTGGAGCAAGGTGATTGTTGGAGTGGGAAAGATTAGTTGTTTGAAGGCAGAGAGTCTCAGAAATGGTTGTGGAGGCCCTGGAGGTAGCCAAGTGTCAGTTGGACAAGATGTTGATATCTGGCCTTATCCACATTTTGACAAGTATCCAGAATCCCATGAGACAAACCTTGGCCTCCACCCCTGATACAGCAAAGCCGGCTGTAGCATTTGTGAGAGCAGGAGTGATGAGAGAGCAGGTGTGGTCTGACCATCCCTTCATATAAGGTAGCCACCAGCTCCCCTTTTGCATCAGTCCCACTGTAATGGTGGCTTGTCCTTTGTGCTGTCTTCACAGTGTCTCCTTCCTTGGTCAGCTTGGGCCTACTGCAGAAGAAATGGGCCAGCATCATTGCATGAGGGATGAGGGCATCAGATGTACCCTCCAGGAAAGAATCTTGGTGCTGGTGACCTTGCTGACTGAATCTGAGGACAAAGGTAATCCACCCATGAATTCTGTCAGGTGCTCAGGATTGTCGGTTCTTGGTGGAGCTGCAAGGGCAAAGCAAGTTGTTTCATTTCATCACCAAGAAGTGTAGGCCGGCCTCTGGGTGCCCACAAGTTCAGAGCTTGATGCCCTTCCTCCAAGCTTCTGGTTGGGGAATGCCGTGGAATTCCTCGCACCCACCAACACCTGCATTGTCCAGAGGAGCCTGAAACTCTTTATGCAATGGCACTCCCATGTGCTTGGATTGATAATGATTCCTAGTCAAACATTCCTTGTAAAAGCTGAAAAAAATGAATGAAAACTCAATACCACCTCTCTCATCGGGACTGAGGTCCGGCACCTGTGGGTCACCCACCTTCTCTGGGGGTCAGACACAGGCTGGCAAACCACTCCACTGCTCTTTGCTTCCTCCAGCTGTAGCCACACTGCCTCTAGACGGGCCTGTGCTTTAGCAACTCAATTAGAATAGTTTGTCCATTGGCAAGACAGGCCTCTGGGGGCACGCTTTTAAGCTGCCTTTGGTGTGGAGGAGATGCATTGCCCAGATCCATGGAGGATTAATGATAGCCGCCTTGTGTGCCCTGCAGGCACATTGAAGATTCTGGAGGCTTGTAGCAGTGGCCTCAGAGCTGGGCTCTGTCTACTCTGAGAGTGAGGTTCTTAGTGTCACCTTCCTAGAAGTCAGGAAGAGGCAATGGTGCTGTAGTGCTGCCATGCTGAGACAGCCTGAATCAAGCCTGCACATGCTATGGGTTCTGTGACACAGCCTCCAAGGTTCTGTGGGACTGTGGTGACCTTTGAGAGTAGGATCGGAACTTAAGGGTAAAGAGTAAAACTGTGTGTTTTTGGTTGCCTGCCATTTTCTCAGGTGCCCTTCTTTGAAGGTCTGTAGGAGCCAAGGAAGTGAGTGCCATCATGAGAGGCAGCTCTGTATCTTTTTAATTTTTATTATTTTATTTTTTGTCCCGTTTACACTGCTTTTTTTACTCCAGGACTGTTATCCCTTTGGTGAAGACAGGTAGAGACATGAGCCTTGTGGACCTGTGAATGAATGAGTTATTTGGAAACTGTGTTGGATGGGACCACTCTTTGTGTCTGTTTTCACTGTGGTTGTGGTACCTCTAGGAAACATTGGATATTCTTCTAGTAAAGCCGATGAATGAGGACGTACTGTGGATGTCCTCAGAGATCTAGGATGGGATGGCTTCTGTTGGCTCAGGTCTTCTCAAAGTTAAAAAATTCACCCATTGGGCCTTGTTTTACTTTATTTTGCTTTCTCTTTTGAGATGTAGGTGTGCCTTTGTGCTGAAATGGTGGTTTGGCTTCCACGTGGATGTGTACTCCAACAAGTAGCCTGTGGGTCATGGGCTGTCAATCAAGACTGGCTTGAGACTTCTGTCCATGATCAGGAACCAAAGGAAGTGGCCTTTTTTTATAGGTTGCATTGATGGAAATTCCTTTCCTGAAGGGTTGCAGCTCTCTAGGGTGATCTCAGCCTTAGTGGTTTCCCTCTGTGTGGGACTAGCATGAAAAGTTAGGGTTGATACAGTCCCTTGGCTTGAATAACCTTTCTTGGTTCTTTGAGCACAGGGATTCTACTGACATAGAATGTATTCTTGAATGAGATAAAGAGAGACAGAGACAGACATAAAGTCACAGTCCTTGGTAGAGAGAGACATGGAAAGAGAGACAAAGTTGGTGTGCTTTTGGAATGTACCTTGCAGCTTGAGACCTATTGCAGAACAGGTCTTTAGTACCTTTTGAGTTCTGGCCTGTCTGTTGATGGTGTTGTACAGAACCAAGAAGCTCGTTGAAAATAGGGAGGAGAGCCTCTTTTGAGGCATAGATATGTCTGGGTACATGGCTTGCTCATGACTCTGGCCTGAGGTGAGTCCTAGGTCTCCAGTGGGATATTGCCAGGGGAGACTGCTCCCTTAGGGAGCAGTTTCCAGTGTTGGTGTTTTTGCAGGTGCTCTCATATTCTTGGGAATTTCCTGCAGGCTTGTTTTGGAGCAATTCTTGTGTTGGAGAGGGTGAGATTAGTTGTTTAAAGGCAGAGAGACTCAGAAACATTTGTAAATGTCATTTAGGGAGCCAAGTGTCAGTCGGACAAGCCCTTGATATCTAGCCTTATCCATATTTTAAAACGAATCTCAAATCATATGGGACAAACATGGGTTGTCCTTTGTGCTATCTTCACAGTGTCTCCTTCCTTGGCCAGCTTGATCCTACTGCAGAAGAAATTTGCCAGCATCATTCCTTGAGGGCTGATGGCACCTGATGTTGCCTCCAGGGAGGATGCTTGGTGCTGATGACCTTGTTGCCTGCATCTCAGGACAAAGGTAAGCTGCCCATGAATTCTACCAGGTGCTCAGGATTGTCGGTTCTTGGTGGAGCTGCGGGGGCAAAGCAAGTCATGTCACTTCAGCATCAGGAGGAGTAAGCAGGCCTCTGGTGCCCTCAAGTTTAGAGATTGGTGCCCTTGCTTTGAGCTTCTGGTTGGGGAAGGCCGTGGAATTCCTCGCACTCACCAACACCCGCATTGTTCTGAAGAGCCTGAAACTCTTTATGCAATGGCACTCCAGTGTGTTTGGATCGATGATGATTCCTAGTCAAACATTCCTTGGAAAAGCTGAACAAAATGAGTGAGCACCCAATACCACCTCTCTCATTGAGACTGAGTTTCGGCAACTTTGGGTCACCCACCTTCTCTGGGGTTCATTTACAGGCTGTCCAAATACTGCTCTGCCTTTTTCTCTTCTCAGCTTTAGCAGACTGCATCTTTGTGGGCCTGTGCTTTTACTTCTCTGCTTAAACTTCCTAATATTGTGACAGACAGCCCTTTGTGTCATGTTGTTATTCTCTTTGGTCTTGAGTAGATGTATTGCCTTAATACAAGAGTTATACATATATCCCCATTGTTTCTCCTGCAGTCACTTTAAAGTGTCCCAGGCAGAGTTGGAATCAGTATTGCTGCATAACTGGGCTTTGCATACTTTGAAATTGTTATCTTGTATGTCAATTTACCTTCTTTGAGGAACAAAATGGCTATTGTGCTGCAGTGCTCCTATGTAGAAATATTTTGTTTTCAAGCCTGCACTTTCTATCAGCCCTGTGACACAGCTTCTTCTGGCCTGTGTTGATGTTGTGCCTTGTGAGAATATTATGCCCTCTTGCATGCCAAGTGTTAGAGGTAGCCAGCCAAAGAAAGAGAAAGTTTGTGCTGTATTTGAATATAGAGTTCACCCTGTGACCCTTTGCAGAACCTTTAGAACTGGTTGTGTTCAGGATTTTACTGTGTTTGAGCTGTGCAGAATCCTGCATCTTGCTGCTATTCATAGAGACACTGGTGTGAAGTGTGCACTTGCTATGAGCCTTGCTTCTTAAGGCCTATGGTATTTTGGTGACTTTTGAGAGTCAGACCTCTCTTCGAAGCATAGAGAAAATCTTTGTGTCATTGGTTGTCTGCCGTTTTCTCAGGTATCCTTCTTGAAGGTGTGCAGGAGCCAAGGGATATACTGTGGCCAATAAAGATGCCTCTACCTCATTTTTTAGGAGTATATGCACTGTTTCATTTTTCACTGTGTTTATGTAATATCTATAATATCGTAGAATCATGAGCCTTGTGATCCTGTGCATGAAATACTTGGTTGGAACCTGTGTAGGATACTACCCTTGTGCTGGTAACATCCTATTTTCTTTCTGGTGCAATATCTCTATGAAATGTTGGCTATTCTTCCAGGATAGATTGTGAGTTAGGAAGGTGCGAATATCCTGTGGTTGTCCTCCAAGACCCAGGATGTGATGACCTCCTTTGGCTAAAATCCTTCTCAAAGTTAGAGAAACACACATTTTTTTAATTATTTTATTCATTCATTTTTTTTAATTTACTTTTCCCTTTGAAATTAGGTTGTTTTTGCACTGAAATGGAGTTTTGGCTTCCTTGTCTATGTGTAGTGTAAGAAACACCTTGTAGTTCAGGGTTTGTCATTCAAGACTCAAGGTTTGTCATTGAGACCTCGCTCCATGAGTAATGGCAAAAGGAAATGGACTTTTGCTTTTATGTTGCATTGATATTACTTGCTTGCTTCCAGTGTTGCAGCATCTTTACATAAATCTCATTGTGAATGGTTTACCCCTGTGTGTGATCACTTGTCCAAGTTTGGATTCATACAGTCCCTTTGCTTGAAGACACCTTTCCATGATCTTTATCCAAGGGGATTCTATTGATAAAGAAAGTGTTAGTAAAAGACAAACAGATAGATAGATAGATAGATAGATAGATAGATAGATAGATAGATAGATAGATAGATAGACAGACAGACAGACTGATAGGGTAAGAATGTGAGAGAGTGAGAGAGACAGAGAATGAGAGAGACAGAAAATGAGAGAGACAGAAAGACAGGTCCAGATACATAGACACATTCACAGTAAGACGTAGCGACAGACAGCTAAAGAGAGAGAAATTTGGTGTGGTATTTGAATTTATAACAGTCTTAAGATCTTTTGCTTGGAAGTTGTAAGTAGAAACTTTAGATTCTGTCTAAAGGTTCTGGCTTCTTCAGTGAGTGATTTCTATAGAACCATCGAGTTTGCTGCAAAAATGAGGATCAACCCCTCCTTCTAGATTGAGATAATCATGGGTACATGGTTTTCTCTGAATATGCTCTGAGGTGAGTCCGAGACTCCAGTGGGATATTGCCACTGCCAGTGGAAAACTGATCCCTTAGAGAACATTGTTTTGTGTTGGTGTTTTTGGAGGTGCTCTTATTTTCTTGTAAACTTTCTGCTGGCTGGTGTTTAAGCAACTTTTTGTTTGAGTGTTTAACCTTAGTTGTGTAAATGAGTCTCAGCAACCTTTGTGAAACCCCTCATGGGAGCCAGTTGTAAGTTGGGCAAGCACTTGATATGTATTCATATTCAAATATTCTAGTGAACTCCATGGAACAATACCAGCTCTATCTGGCAAGGCAGGCTGTAGGGTTTGGGGTAGTAGGTGTGGAGAGAGAAAGCAGGTGTGATCTGACCAATCCATAATATCTACTAGGCCCCTATTTGTATCCCTCTCACTGTAATAATGGCTTGTCCTTTGTGCTGTCTTCACAGTGTCTCCTTCCTTGACCATTACGGACCTCTTGCAGAAAAAAATGGGCCAGCATCATTTGTTGATGTCTGTTAGCACCTTATTTAGCCATCAGTGAAAATTCTTGATGCTGGTGACGTACCTGCCTGTATCTGATGACAAAGGTCAGACACTCACTTATTGATATACACATTTTTTATGAATGTTTGTATGTTTTTCATTTTGTACATAGTGTCTTTTTTTCATGTCCATCATTAGGGTTTTTCCCAGATTCCTCTTCTGTATGTGTATTTCTTATAGAGGGTAGACTTTCCCTAATTACTCCAATTCTTATTCAGTGAATACTTACGATTGTTCTTCAACTTTAGCCACAGCACAATAGCCTTCAACATGCTATAGCCATTGGTTTTTGAGAAATTCTTTATTATATTTCTACTGCTTTGTTAAAACCCTATGACCACAATCAGTGTGGAAAGTAAAGGATGTTTTTCATCTTACAACTGTCATGTTGCAATAAACCACTTGAAGAAGTCAGGGCAGTAGCTCAAGCTAGAAACCTGGAGGCAGTAACTGAAGCAAAAATAATGCATAATTCTGTTTGCTGGTTCACATATTTTATATAACTCAAGATTACCAATCCTACTTGGCATATTTCCTCCACAGTAATTAAGAAAATGCTTCACATTGCTTCACTTGCTGACAGATAAATTGATAGAAACATTGTCTCATTTGATTTGACAAGAAACCCACATGTTTCAAGGAATAGTCACTCTACTCTTGCTGTCTGAATATACCCAGTATGTTTGTTTTTTTCAGTGTCGTATACATCTGAAAAATCCTTCTAAGATAGGGTCTTAGCCTGGTCCAAGTTAGAAAAATACCATCTTTTTACTGTGCACTGTACTTGGGAGAACTGGCATTGGGTGAATACTCTGGTCCACAATGCTAAATTGATATAGGTCAGACTGAAGGGGCTTGATGTTTGGGAACATCTTAAAGTAGAATTGTGTGCCTTAGGACCTGAACCAGAATTACTTGCAGAAAGGCCCAGGGATGCCTTAAGCCTAGAAAGGGAGCTTCAAGACACAAATCACTTCCACTTATACCACCTCCCTGCTGAGGAAACTCCTGCCAAACACTTTTCTTTTGGCACTCTCAGAGAGTAGGAAATTAGAAGTTAGAGTTGCTGAGGTAAAAATTACAGATTACACAGTGAGCCTGACTTGGCACTTGCTTTTTTAATTTCAAGCCTGCCCTCACTCCATATCTTCTCCTCAGACATAATTTGCCTGGGATTTATTCTTTCAAGTAGGCTGGATGTGATGTTGGTCTGAGGGATTCAAGCAAGTGACATGAACTTGGGTGGTGTAGACTGAGTCCAGCAGCGCTAGGCCAGCAAATGTGAGAATAGGCACTGCTCTCATAGTGTTGAGGACATTGGAGTCTTTGTAGGGCTCTGAGAGAATCTGTAGTTCCAATCCCCAATCATGAAGTAATTCAGGAACCCCTAGAAGGTGTAACTGATAGATGTTTGTCAATGGTACATCAGTACATTCACCTTCATGATAGAGGTCTCAGATCTATTGAGATTGTCCACTGCCCAATAAGTGAATCAACATAATGGACTTTCCAATGTGCTCTGATCAGTTGTGACTCACATATAAACATTCCTTGGAAGAAAATGAATGAGTACTCAATATCTGTTATTCTCATAATAACTGACACACAGCATGGAGGATCCCACATGTATGGTAAGAGTAAGCCACATCCCCTTGTTTTTCCAATTTTTCCTATGTTACAGGACATAAGCATTTTCAAACCTCACGTTTCCAGAGGAATTGGGCTCACATCAGTTTCTTTAGCTGATCACGACCTCGTTCTAGTTCTAGTCCCTTTACGAGCCATGGTTGGTACTGCTATTAGGGAATCATGCAGCATGACCAGGAGAATGAAGCACAAATAGGCCTGGAGAGCCCCACACTTCTGGAGAACCATGCAGATCTAGCCAAATCTCTAATTGCAGAGCCCTGACCCATAGCCCAAGCTGAAAAGGTGAGGATGCCTTGTTGATAGTTTTACTCTCCTAGGCCTTGTTTGTGTATAGCTACAAACGAAGAGTTATTGATGTGCTGGGGGAAGAATGTGTAGACTGTGCTTCAAGAAGTACTTCTCTTGGACATGTAGAAAGTATTGAAGATTTGGAAGACTGCTGTGTTTAAATTCTACCCTACCAAATGTATTAATATCTACCATGTATCCAAGCTGTAGGCTTGTTGTGAAACATGGTCACAGTTATGTGTCCAAACATATTAAGAGTTCCAGTGAGACTTGGATTCTTCTCTCATGCACATCTATGTATGTGTACTCTGTTATATATGTTTGTCTACATTTGCGTAGACACATGCATATTTTAATACATAAACACACAACATACATTAGCTTATAAAATAAACAATCTTAGATGCCCACAACAATATATTTTAGAACCTGTGAAACTGTTTTTTCATGTGGATTTATTCACTTCTGTTGGCAGGCTCCCATGTTTTTACATTTGTGAGCAGATCTATGTTTTTAAACATGTAGATCATGTCCTCATTATTCCCATGTAGTTTGATGAAAATTGCTTCTGTGTCCCTTCCATGTGGGTCAATTCTGCTAGGTCCAGAGAGGTTTAATACCAGAAACCCTGGCTAGGGGGAGGCAATGGAATGAAGAAACTACACACACAGAGATACACATACAATGAATCCAGGATCAGTTGGAGTTCTCTAAGCCCTGTAATCATGAATCTCATAATATTTATTAGGTGTAGCACAGTGTCAGGGAAATGCTTTCTTCTGTATTGTATAGGCTAACTACGTATTTTTGTCATGTTTTAGTCACTGTTCTATTGTTATGAAGGGACACCATGACCAAGGCAATGCTTATAAAAGAAAATACTTGTCCTTTCCATGTCATACAAACTCCCCCTTCTTTCATATAATTCCCTGCACTCTACCGAAGGTTTGGTTATGAGTCTTAGTATCTGCTTTGATACACTGCTAGGTAGAGTCTTTCATGGGCCCTCTGCGATAGGCCCCTGTCCTGTTACTGGAGCTCCACAAGGACCAAATATATCTGGGCATAGGGGTCTTTTTCTGAGACTGACACTCAACCAAGGACCATGTATGGATATAACCTAGAACCTCTGCTCGGATGAAGCTTGTGGTAGCTCAGTAACCAGTGGGGCAAATTTAAATATTCCTATAAAGGCATTGCAGAATGTCTTTCATTTCAGTCCCTAGTCCTATTATTTTGTTTTGATTTTCAAAGTTTTACATAGCTGTCCAAACCCGAGGCAGACTTTAATTTCTACTATGTAATCTTATCAATGGAATTAATTGTTATAACTGTCCGGAGATAGACATAGTGAGTTGTGCTTCTTAGAAACAGTACATAGAACCATAAAATATTAGCTTAGTTAACAACTCAACAAATATTAGGAATGTTACTACAGATTCTAATTTTTTTTTTAGATGTGACAATTCCATAACATTTCTGTGACTTCTACAAATATATGTAGCAACAATGTGGCTAGTTTCTGTTAAGAATTTTTTTTGTAAATGATTTCATATTCTTTTATTGTAAATGATACAGCAAAGTGATAAAAAAAAGTTACAGAATCTTCCATTATTAAAAAGTAGTGGGTAAGGAGTGGATACAGAAATTGTGGTATTTTTTCACAATGGAATACTACTCATCAATCAAAAACTAGGAAATCATGAAATTTGCAGGCAAATGGTGAGATCTAGAAAAGATCATTCTGAGTGAAGTATCCCAGAAGGAGAAAGACACACATAGTATATACTCACTTATTTAGACCTATAAGTTATGATAAACATAATGAAATCTATAGACCTAAAGATGATAAACAAGAGAGAGGACAGGGGTAAGATGATCAATCCTCACTTAGAAAGACAAATGGGATGTGCATTGGATGTAGGAGAAAACAAGTAACAGGACAGGAGCCTACCACGGAGGGCCTCTGAAGAACTCTACCTAGCAATGTATCAAAGCAGATACTAAGACTCATAACCAAACCTTCAGCAGAGGGCAGGGAATTATATGAAAGAAGGGGGAGTTAGTATGACTTGGAAAGAATAGGAGCTCCACAAGGACCAAATATATTTGGGCACAGGGTTCTTTACTGAGACTGACATTCCACCAAGGACCATGTATGGATATAACCTAGAACCTCTGCTTGGATGAAGCCCGTGGTAGCTCAGTAACCAATTGGTTTCCCATAGTAAGGGGAACAGGGACTATTTCTGACAGGAACTCAATGGCAGGCTCTTTGACCGCCCCACCCCCCAAGGGAGGAGCAGTTCTGCTAGGCCACAGAGGAGGACTTTGCAGCCAGTCTCGAAGATACCTGATAAAACAGGGTCAGATGAAAGGAGAGGAGGTTCTCCCCAATCAGTGGAATTGGAAAGGGACAGGGAGGAGATGAGGGAGAGAGGGAGGGTTTGGGAGGGAATGAGGGAGTGTGATACAGCTGGGATACAGAGTGAATAAAATGTAACTGATAAAATAAATAAATAAATAAATAGACAAATAAATAAATAGATAAATAAATAAATAAATGAAACAAAAGAAAATACTTAATTGATGGCTTGCTTACAGTTTCTGAGGAATAGTCCTCTATCATAATGGCAAGACAATGGGGTTAGAATGGTGACACTCATGGCACTGGAGCAATATCTAGGAGCTACATCTGGGTCCACAGGTAGAGAGAGACACTCGGCCTGGCATGGGCTTTTGAAACCTCAAAGCCCATTCAAGAGACATACTTTATGTAGTGCTTTGAATGACTATGGGCACCATTGACTCGTGTTTGAATGCTTGGCTCATAGGGAATGGCACTATTAATAGGTATGACTTTGTTGGAAAAATTGTGTTACTAAGTGCACAGGGTTTGACTTCTATGATCATGTTATGCTCAGAGTAGGACTGTCTTCTGCTGCCTGTGGATAAATATGTGGAACTCTTCAATTCCTTCTTCAGCACTATGTCTTCCTGCACACTACCGTGATTTTCTCAAAGAAGATAATGAACTAACCCTCTGAAACTGTAAACCACCCCCAATTAAATATTTTCCTTTATAAGAGTTGTCATGGTATTTTGTCTCTTCACAGCAATAAAACCCAAACTTAGACAACTCCCCCAAGAAGGGCATTCCAACTAATTCCTCTTTGACAGCTCATCAACTGGGGACCAAAAATGCAAATATATAAGCCTATAGGGGATATTCTTATTCAAACTACCAGACGTATCATTTCATGTGTTGAGATCATGGTTTCAGTGGAAGGTTGTAGGTCAGTGCCTTTTAGTGTTATTATTTATTTTCCTTGAAGGTGCATCTTGAGGACATATTGCAAAGTAAATATTTCTCGGTTAATCCACATAGTATACAGATGATAGACAATTGTTTAGTATACTTAATGTCATTATTCTAGTGACCTAAACATCTTTCTACTTTCCTCAATGTATGCCATACTTTCTTTACATTTACCAGGTGACACAAATCTGTATATCCTGATATTCCCTATGAACTTGTTAATATCTGAGACATATGTAGTATGGCTTTCATAGTATGGTAGTAAGTGGGTGAATCATGGTAATCATTTTCTTCCCCAATGGAGCAAGATTCCTGTGTATCATATAGGAAGTATGCATTTGATCCATGATGCCTTCCCCCTGTATGTTTGTGCATGCTGAACAATTTGAGTGAGGCATGCATATTGTTATCCTCAATGAACTAAATTACTATACTACTATACTATCACAGATGGAGACCGACAGACAGTAGTGTCTCTGTTGTCTAGATTTTTTTTTTACTAAATAATTATATAAGTGAAGTTCGTAGTGGCTGCCTCAATGATTAGATATCAATCTCTTCTGCAATGTCATGTCCCAGTCATGACCATCATATTCCTATTCTTGCCTGTTGTGAAGAACATCAAGTATACAGATACCAAATTTTCTATAGTACATTGCATTGAAGAGAACTTTTTTGTATAGGTTTCATGGCATAGTCTAGTATCCAAAGAGTTTTACAGTTGTCTCAAGTAGGACTTGGAGGTGTGAGGTATAGAGAAATACTGGTGGAAACAGAGTCAGATCAACAAATTTCAGCAGCTCCTGCCCTCATACCAGTTTAACTGTAGTGTAAAAATTTATAGCATGGGGTCAAATATGTGTAGTAATTATTGTTGAAATACGGCCAATTATTAATGAGGATGTAGAGTTTCTGTGTCCAGTGTCTTGGACTTTCTCTACTGCAAAGTGGGTACTCAGTGCACAGTACTGAATTGTCTCATACAATGATGTTTTTGTGGTGAAAGCTTCATTCCTGAGTCTAATGAAGAGGTGAGTGCCCCTTCCTGCAGCATAGCAATACATAGGTACTGCTGTTCTCTACTGCCAGTATAGAGAACAGAACTTAGAAGGAGGCTTGTGGTAAGTGCTCTTTTTTTGGTTTTCCCAAAATCCAATGGGATTCCTTATTTCCAATGAGGAAGAGTATGGGTAAATGGATAAAGACTTCAATACCTACTTTCTTTAAAATCTTTACTATGTGAAAAAATCATCTTCATCTGACTAACTTTGAGCCCTTTGTTCCTACTGAATCTAAACACATAGTTTTATTTATTCTTATAGGCATGCTACCAAATTGTTCACATGAAAAAAGATGGGCCTTGTAATGTGTGAAGGTCAGTTTACAAAGAAGGTAAAAATCTTACAGGTTAAAATTAAATTCTTTTTGAACTGTGTGGCTTTTGTCTTGTAACTCATCCCTTACAGCTATGCATTTATTAGGAGTCTCTTCTCAATAATATGTGGACTTTTGTCAGCGAATTTGTCAATGACTCAATGCTTTAAATAACATCAAGACAGTGTAGATGACATGTGTACACCTCTATCTCAGTGTCATAAGGTGTTGTATTTGATGATATTGTGAATGAGATATAAAACAAACTTTGTAGCTGGACTACAGGTGGTGGTCAATTCAGATTCATTTCCACTTCTAGGATTTTCAGATAGGCTCACCACCATAGAATCTTGGTGCCCTACCCCATTCCACACATACCCCCCCACACACACAGATTTCAGTTACATTTCCTAGCCCATTCTTCTTTCCCCACACCTGATCTCTCCCACATCCTCTCACACTCTGTTCCATCTGCTACAAAGGTCTATTTTTACTTTCCCTAAGTGAGATTTCAGCATCTTCCTTTGAGGCATCCATGTTACTTAGCTTCTTAGGGTCTGTGAATTGTAGTATGTTTATCTTGTACTTTATAGGTAATATCCACTTATATGTGAATACATACCATGTCTTCTGGGTCTGGGTTGCCTCACTTAGGATGATATTATCTAGTACCATCATTTTGCCAGCAAATTGCATGATGTCCTTGTTTTTAATAGCTGAGTAGTATACCATTATATAAATGTACCACATTTTACTTATCCATTCTTTGGTTGAGTAACATCTAAGTTGCTTCCAGGTTCTCGTAATTATGAATAAAGCTGCTTTGAACAAAGTTGAGCAAGTATCCCTCTGGTATTTTGGAGCTTCTACTGGGTATATGCTCAAGAGTAGAACAGATGGTTCTTGAGTTAGAACTATTCCCAATTATATGAGAAATAGCCAGATTCATTTCCAAAGTGGTTTTACACCATCAGTGGAATAGTGTTCCTCTCTCTTCATATCTTAGCCAGCATGTGCTGTCACTTAAGTTTTTGACCTTAACCATTCTGACAGGTATAAGATAGAATCTCAGAGTCATTTTGGTTTGTCTTTCTTTAATTACTAAAGACATTGGACATTTATTTAAGTGCTTTTTGGCCATTAGAAATTCTTCTGTTGTGAATTCTCTGTTTAGGTCAGTCATTTTAAAATAGGGTTATATGGTTTGTTGTTTAATTTCTTGAGTTTTGTTAATGTATTTTGAATATTAACATTATGTCAAATGCAGGGTTGGTGAAAATCTTTTCCCGTGGTGTAGGCTGCTGTTCTGTGCCATTGACAGTGTTCTTTGCATTGCAGAAGCTGTTCAGTTTCATGAGGTCCCATTTATTAATTGTTGATCTTAGAGCCTGAGCTGTTGGTATTTAGTTCAGGAAGAGAACAGAAAGTTCCTGTATCAATGTGTTCAAGGCTATTCCCCACTTTCTCTTCTATTAGAATTAGTATATACAGTTTTATGTTTAGGTCTTTTTTATTTAATTATTTTTATTTTTATTAATTACAGTTTATTCACTTTGTATACCCCCTATACCTCCCTTCCACCTCCCCACCCTCTCCCAGTTCCTCTCCCAGTCCACTGAAAAGGGAGGTCCTTCTCCCCTTCCCTCTGACCCTAATCTATCAGATCTCATCAGGACTGACTGCACTGTCTTCTTCTGTGGCCTGGTCAGGCTGCTCTCCCCTCAGGGAGAGGTGATCAAGGAGCAGACCAATCAGTTAATGTCAGAGACAGTCCATGTCCCTGTTACTATGGAGGCCACTTGGATACTGAACTGCCATAGGCTACCTCTGTGCAGGGGTTCCAGGCCATCTCTATAAGTGGTCCTTGGCTGGAGTATCAGTTTCAGAAAAGACCTCTGCACCCACATTTTTTGAGTGGATTTTAGACATATAATATAGGATAAACATACTAAAATCTGTACACCTAAAGAAGCTAAGCAAGAAGGAGGACCCTGGGTAAGATGATCAATCTTCACTTAACATTTTCATAATCCCATCAACAGAATCATGAATAAATTCAAATTTCTTTTTTTTAATTTTTATTTTTTTCTTCACAATTTATTCATTATATTCCGTGACTGAAGCCCCCTCCCTCAACTCCCACAGTCCCACCCTCTCTCCCTCTTTCCCTCGTCCCCTCTCTCACATCTACTGAAAGGGGGAGTTCTACACTATTGCCATCTGCCCATAGCTTGTTAAGTCTCATCAAAATTGCCCCAATCCTCTTTCTCTGTGGCCTGCAAAGGCTGCATCACCAATGTGCGGCTAAACAAAAGGCATTTATTCTTCACATACTATTTTTTATTGCCTTAATATCCACAGTGAGGCTGTCTATAATTCAGACTACCTATAAAAGCACATCTTTAGAGTGGCTTGCTTTGGCCTCATAACTAGCTTTCTCAAAGAAACAGCTGAGTATGTACGGTGGGTGTATTCTCTCTGAAAAGCACTACCTTGTTCAGTTCTCAGTGTTTATGGAAGCTAATATTATCTAGACCTGGTCCATTGTTCTTTTGACTTTACTAGAGACTACTTGGGAAGTAAAAGAATCTCAGGGAGATGGAAATTGGTAGTGATCGTCTGTTTTCCTGGCTATAAACATGTACATTCTCCTGTAAGGATGAGCTCACTAAAATTGGTTAAATTTCAAATATATTTTTCCAAGTGGAATATTTAGGATCTTTTCTAACATGTTAGTACACATTAAAAGAGCATATTTTCTATACAGTGGTGACATTTTTATTTTGTGACATTTGCATTTAATCAAATATAAAAATGTTTACCTTACTAACACGATAATTAGATGACATACTTTATTTGTTGGACAGGAGAATGCCTGTGCTTTTCTCAAATAGGTGACAGAGGAATCAGCAGACATTTTACTTTAAAATCCACACAAGGCACAACAGACTCATACTTCATGTTTGTTTTACTATAGTATATGAGTGTTATTGTTCTTTGATTTTCCTGTTGAGTGATGATACACCCCAGAGAGAAAGGGCAGTTAATATCCTGACCTTAAATCTGAATTAATGGAAAACTTCCTTTCATCTATGATATTCCTTCTGCTAAGGGTGTTGGCTGTGGGGGCAATGATGTACCTATTTCGGGAAGGAGCCTAAGGATCCATGTGAGTTGATAGCCTTTGTATGTAATCTTGATGATATTTGGTTGTTGCCAGAGAGCATAAAACCCTGTCTAAGTTCCAGATGGATGTGGTTAGCTACAAAGAATTGTAGCTTTTTTGTCATAATGGGTGCACCTGCTTCAAGAAAATCTAACTGAATTTAATATTCCCTTATTAGAGCATTATATATAAGCTAATTATTTGTACGATGCATTGAGTGAACTTTTATTTACTTTTGGTCACATATTTTTTAAGTTTATTTTGTTATAGCATAAACCATATATATTTCTCATTATAGAATAAGTTTTAAGTAGTTTTTTATTAATCGTTAAATGTATGTGGTTATTGAATTACTTTTGAATAACTTATTCTACTAAATAGTGAAACATAAATGCTTTTGAAGGGCTTTAGAAATATTATTTTCAGAGAGACTCAGACGATCCATTGAACTTTGTGAAAGCAAAAAGAGATAAAAGACTTGAAAGTCTGTGAATATAGAGTGATAGAACAGACATTTATAGCTTCAGGGTTGTATGCATAAATAGTGCCTTTAAAATGAAATAAACAATAAGTGAATTTCATAGGTTTCATCTATATTTTTCTGTGTCATTGAGAATGGTGTTTCTTTTTTTTTTTTCTCAGAAAATGAACTGCTACAGGAAACTCTTCAGATAATGTCTAAAAGCAGAAAATACATGAAAGAAGACTTTGTAGATCAAGATCTCTTCAGCACATATTGTCTCAGAGCTGTACTCTGAAGGTATGTATATTACTCTCTTTACTATTGACTGTGACAAATAATTGCAGCCCCCCCCCCCCTTGAGGCAGGAGCAGCCTTGCCAGGACAGAGAGAAGGGCATTCCAGCCAGTCCTGGTGAGACCTGATAAACTAGGGTCAGATGGAAGGGGAGGTGGATCTCCCCTATCAGTGGACTTGGAGAGGAGCATGGGAGGATATGAGGGAGGGAGGGTGGGTGGGATTGGGAGGGAATGAGGGAGCGGGCTACAGCTGGGATGCAAAATGAATAAAATGTAATTAATGTAAAAAATAAAAATTTAATTAAAAAATAGATCCAAACATTTATTTGGGCTGATAGTTCCAGATAGTTAGAGTTTATGATGGCATAGTAAAGGCATGGCAGCAGGAGCATATACGAGCTCCCATCTTAAGCCACAAGCAAGAAATAGAGGGCACACTGGAAATGCCATGAATGTTTTGGAAACTAAAAAGCTGCTGCCAGTGTCACATCCCAAAACAAGGTCACTTCTGGTCCTTTCCCAATAGTTTCACCATCTGAGGAACAAGTATTGACATACATATGAGCTTTGGGGATCCATTCTCATTACACACATTACATTCTTTTGTCCTTATAAAGGTTTACTGTCATATCATGATGCAAAGTGCATTCAGTTCAACATCAAAGACCTCAACAATATTTCAGTCTCAAGGCTATTTTAAAGGCCAAAGTCTCTTCTGAGACTAAAGGCAAACTTTTAATTAAAAGCCTCTGAGAAATCAAAGAGCAAATTATATACTTCTAACATTCAATGTTATAGAATATACATTGCCATTCCAAGGAGGATAAATCAGAGCAAAATGAAGAAGTACTGAGCCAAACCAAAACACAACTCAGAAGGGAAAACTCCAAATCTTGTGGCTCCGTATCTATTGTCAGAGGTCTTGGATGTCTTTAACACTTCAGCTGTACTCATTCAATAGCTGTCATACAGGCTGGTTTCATTCCTTGTCTTTATCTATACTTGGCAGATATCCCAGTTTTGGCATGTGCAATAAGTTGGGGGATCCATCAAAATCCAAGCTTCACCTTCACAAACATTATGCAATGGTTTCTCATGGCCTCTTTTTATCCCAGGCCCTCTGTGTAGTTACTTTCCTGACACATATTGCCTGCCCTAATTGGCTCTTCTTCATCATGTAGGAAGATTCTAAAAACTCATTATTTGTGTATCCCTCATGACCCTAAAACCATAACCTCATAGATGATACTTTCACGTTAGGACGCCCAGTTAGGATGGAGCAAGGCCCTCTTGAATTACAATTACACCAACTTTTATTCGTTGTTGCTTTTTAGGATCAGAAAATTGCTTGGCCTTTCCCTTTCACAAGTTGTAAGCTTAGCTGGTTGATGTCATGTCCACTCTTGATCTTATTATTTGTTTCAGCACAAGCCTTGGCTCCACATTTTCTGGTGATCCTTTTCTCTTTCAACTGCATATTTTCTATTTCTTTTTTGCCACATATGCTGTTACCTTGTAGACTTCAATTAAAGTGATTAATAATTAAAAAGTGACAACATCAACATTGGGCTGTCTTTGAAAAAATCTTCCTGGAAATTAGTCCTTTCCAATTCAGTTCTTGGGACAAATGAAGAAGGAAGCTACATTCTTCTCCAAAGTATATCTTAGTAAAGTATCACTGAATCACAGATGCTAATATGTTTCCTTCTTGACATAGGCCTCTATAGTTTACATTGTTCTTAGCATTACTGTCTTCCCGTGTTCTGCTGGAACATCACATTAAGACCATATAGAAATCTACCATTTTTTTCCAGGCCAAAGTTGTAAAACCTTCTATCGTAGTGCAAAATATGCTAGTCAAGGTAATTCACAACAATACACCATTCCTATTATCCAATTCTGTATCACTTAATTTCTTATTGCTGTGATAACTAGGGCAGCTTATGAAAAAAAATTGAATTGGGTTTATGTTTCCAGAGGTATAGAGTCAATGATGGTAGGGTAAGGCATGGCAGCAAGAACATCTGAGATCTTACATCTTGTTCTACATGTGAAAGGAAACTGATAATAGTATGAGTCTTTAAAACCCAAAGCCCACGTCAGGTAACACACCTCCACCAACAATACCACAGCTTTGAATCCTTCCCACATTGCTTCATAAATAGAGGACCAATGGTTCAAACAAGTGAGTTTTAAGCTACAAAATAAGGAATAAAAGAAGAAGCACAAAATACAAAGTTCACAGATGGTTTTTTTAGCCTTGATAAAAAAAAAAGGTGAAAAAATGAAGAAGAAGGAAAAAGAAGAGGAGGAGGAAGAGGAGCAAGAGGAGGAGGAAAAGGAAGAGGAGAAACAGCAAAACATTTTTTTGTTAGAAAGTTATAAAGACTTTTTTTTTTTTTTTGCCACAGCATGAATCCAAGCTTTTGGCAAACTGACATTCTCAGTGTTCTTTAAGCAGATTTATTCTAGAACATGTAAGTGTATAGTATAGTATTTTCCAGCCTTTAGCCTCTTTGGGATATGTGTTTCTAAATTCTGCCAATTTTCCCCTCTGTGTCCTGGCAGATGATACCTACAATGATGATTTGGAGTCATTATAGATGGTGCCATCTCTTCTACCAGAAGCTTCATGAAAATAGTCTTCATTAGGCATGCTGATGCCTCTCTCCTGTATGCAGAATACACTACCTGCAGATAAGAAATTCTTAACTGAGAAATGCTCATGTTGGGATATCATCAATGAGACTTTAATTTGGGCATGGTGACTGTTTCCCTTGCTGCCACTTGACTCAATCCCAGGAGCCTCAGTAGAGGAAATAATATTGTACAAGAAGCTCAAAATGGTGGAAGTATTTAGTGCTCCTATAAATATAAATTGATGATTTTTAAATATGGCATCTTAAAAAGAAAATGCATGATTAAAAACTCAATGCATACTCATATGATTAATCCATAAATTATGTGCCTCCCCTATTTCAAGATAATCCTCATATTTTCCTTCTGTTAAGGGAGGGAAAATGCTTTTAAGCAGATGAATAGACTCTTTTGGGAGGACTTCATTAGTGGAGCCATATTCCTCTGCAAATTGCTGCTTTTGTTTAAGAGTCATTTTGATGTGCTTTTGCTACTTCAGTACCACATTCATATCTATGTCATTTGTTGAATGACTGCATGCCTGATTTGTGGATGAAATTAAATTAAATGTCTTAAGCATTGCTCATTCATTGGCATTTATGTAAGTGCCAAATTTCTGTGCAATGAACTTTCGTATATATTAAAAATTCTGTATTTGTCTCCTCTATCATAGTAAAATTACCTACAACTTAAATTATGGAAGTTAAGCATATTATCATTTCAGGTTTTTAAAATTATTATAATTCTTTTAAAAATGTGCTTTAACAGCTTTTTTCACAGTAGCAATAACTTAGACTGCCAAATTCTTCACAATTCCCATATGTCATCATTTTAGAAAAGTTTGGGATATTTTCCAGTGTGTTAGTCTAAACAATTGTCCTAAATTTTACTTTTTTTAACTTTTAGTTTGATCATTTTCATGTTTATTGGCCATCTGTATTTTTAAGTTTTTCTTTATGTCAAAGTTTGGGAGTATGTGGAAGGTTTAGTCTCTTTTAAAGATCACATTTACAGTTGGGGAAAGATAAGATTTTGGATTGTCAAACATTACATGTTTTTCATACTTTTGAACTTTGTTTTGTTATAAAAATGTATTAGTGTTACGTGTTCAAGTATAATCATGTTTGCTTTTATGGCTTCTGAGTTTCATGTCATTTTTGGAAAAAAAAGTCCTGATCTCATAAAGCCTGTGTTAATCCTAATTCTTTTGTGTTTTTTTTTTTTTTTTTAATTCAGATACTTATGTCATGAAAAGAATTTTATTTTGAAATTTTAAAGTTGCCAAGTTATTTGTCATTACTTATAATTATTTGCCAATAATTGCCCATTTATCTGTAATGCCATTTTGCACATGTGCTGTATTCTCATCCATGAATGGCTTCATTTTTGTTCTGTGGATATGTGTGTCTCTTCTTATGCCGCCTGTCTCATGTGTCTTCTTGTTGGAAGAAATTACAGTTTAGACTGCAATTTCATCAACATTAATAAATTAATTTCAGAAAAACTGGTTTTAAATAATATTGTCTTCATAATTTAGGACAAGGTATATTTCTTTTTTTAAACAGTTAATTATTGTTGATATTTTCACCATGTTTGGTTTTTCTTTTCTTTTCTTTAATTATTATATTTTTTGTGTCTGAAAGTCTTTTTATACTTTTTTGGGAGGGGATTAAGTGGTCACATTACTCCTCCTTATTGTTTTAGAATGTACCCAAAATTCTTTGCAAATATTGATTTCTCCCACACCCCACCCAGTTGATACTGATTTTGGTTATGTTGATAAAAGTCCACAGACTGGTACTTTCAGAGCACTTAAATAATTTTGGAAACATTATCCACCCTTGATTTAAATGGGATTTAACAGAATGCTTCTTGGGTTTGAATAGCACATTGCTGCTTGTCTATTCTTCCAAAAAGACCACCTAAAAGAGCTATGATCATACAAAGTTGAGTTTATTAAACTTACTGCAGCAAGGGAAAACACCACCTAAACAGGGTTTAGTAGTGATTGAAAAGATAAATAAGAGTCTGGGCTACTGTGGTTTGAGGCAGAGACATGATTATGAATGTGCATAGTTCAGCATGCAATACTTTCAGGTGGATGGGGGTGTGATGAGATTCCTAATGTGCTTCTTGATAATCAACCTGGTATATGAATTGTGTCCCTCAATAAGAAAGTAATGACATTAGAGGTATTTACCTCTATGAGCAAATAGAATTTATCAGTTTATAGTTTTGTCTTGCTAGGCAGGACTCTACTAGGGATGATACCAGGTCTTTTTCCCAAAAGGTAAATTATTTCTCATTTGACTAGTTAAAAATATCAATGTAAGTTTGTAACTTTAATTTTGAGATACTTGGTTTGTTGTGTTAGAAAACTCTTCCACTTTTTATATTTTTCTAAAGAATCTGAATCAAAGCCATGTGGAAGATGTAATTTTTTTTTCACAAATACTTGTATCATTCTGTTTAGAACTTCTGTAATATATTTCATTTTCAATAATTAGAAATTCTTTTCTTCCATGATTGAACTTACCTTAATTCTGTTTAATTCTTTTTATTTACTGCTAATCTATGGATATTTAAACTTAATTTGGAATTTTTGGGAGTCTGTGATTATATGAAATCACTTTTCCATTGACTTTCCTTTCTACTTCTCTCATGCTTTGGTATTAGAAGTTCTGATTATGTTTAAAAAACGTAGAGAATTTTCATATGGTGCAATGATCAGTGGGTTGTTACCAGTGTTAATTGAGCAAATCAGTGAAATCTGCTGGGATTAGGTTATTGATGGAAATAAGACTTTAGTTTTATTCACATCTTACCAGTTATGTTTTCAAATCTACTATCTTATATTTAACATATTTTTTTTTCTCACAGAGGATCACAATGGACACAGATTTTCTATCACTCTATTTAAATTTTGCCTTTTCAAATGAGTACATTTCAAAAGTGGCATTTAAGAATGATCCATTTTCTCCTCCCTTTCACAATCAAGATTTTATGGCTTTTTTTCCAGTTTTTAAAAATATCGCAATATATATTTATATATTTTCCTATGCCTTTTGCCTCTTTTCTTCCTGGAATCCTTTCTACTTATCCAAATCGTTTCTTATTCTTCTCTTTCATTATAATACCAACAGGCATCCAAAAAACCAGATGAAATGAGGATTTATAATGTAAAATAATAACCAACAAATCTGAATAGGTCATAACAAACAAATGAACAGAAAACAAAAGCCAAATGAAAAAAAAAAAACAAGAAACATATGTAGACATACACAGAAGTTTCCCCAAAACATTAATTTGAAAACCATAATATGTAAACAAAAGAACTGTTAAAAAAAAAAAAGTAAAAACAAAAAGCAAGAGCATTATGAGACAAAAAGACCTCTAACAATACTATTGAGTTTGTTTTGTGTTGGTCATCTACTGGGCGTGGAGCTTGCCATTTGGAGTAGTTTATATAACCAGTGAGACTCCATTAGAGAAAACTAATTTTTCATTTGTGAGTGGTTATCAATTGGAGATAGTTTTGGGGTTGTGAATATGTGCTTGTGTCTCTTTCCACTCTCAATGCTGGAACACTATCAGGTATAGACCCTATGCATGCTGCCATAGTCTCTGTGCATTCATATGTGTATCAGTCCTGATGTGCTTAAAAGTTCTTATTTTATTGATGTTCTACATCTCCACTACCACTTGCAATCTCTATGCCTTCTCTTCTACAGAAAAGAATTTCCTCTGGAGGAGGAAATTTGTGTAGACATCTATTTAGGATTGAGTGTTCCAAATCTTCTCATTCTCTGCACATTAACAAGTGTGGGTCTCTGTATTTATTTCCATCTACTATAGGCGTAAGCTTCTCTGTTGAGAAGATTTTGAGCAAGACAATGACCTATGAATATAGCAGGATGACTCTAGAAATCATTTTGTTGCTACATTTCTTTAGCATAATACTATTATTTGGTTTTCTACTGAGTCTCTGGCCCATTGTTCTTAGATACTGGAGCAGTGATGGGGATGAGTTCCATCTCTGCAGTAGACATTATATCTAACCTTTATTATTTTCTCAAAATATTACCTCTGTCTTATTGCCATAAAAAGACAACATGACCAAGTCAGCTTTTACAAAAGAAACTTTAATTGGTGGCTTGACTACAGTTTCAAAGGTCTTGAGCACAGGACTTAGCTCCATTACACTTATTTTATTTTAATAATTTTATTTTTTATATTAATCACAGGTTATTTACTTTATATTCCAGCTGTAACCCCCTCCCTCATTTCCTCCCAATCCCACCCTCCCTCTGTCATCTCCTCCCTGCCCCTTTCCATGTCCACTGAAAGGGGAGGTCCTCCTCCCCTTCCATTTGACCCTAGGCATCTTCAGGACTGTCTGCAATGTCCTCTTCTGTGGTCTAGCAAGACTGCTCCTCCCTCGGGGGTGGGGGGAGGTCAAAGAGCCAGCCATTGAGTTCATGTCAGAAACATTACGAGAGTAATCTCTAGGACATTTACTAATATTCTTCCCTCTGAAACTTTTTGGATCGAGCTCCCACAGTTCCAATCACCTGCAGCACTTTGCCTTCATGTTTCTACTAGAATGACCCATTAAGACTTAAAACATCTAAGGGCTTTTGTAGTCTAAAGTTCTAGTCTTCCACATTCATCCAAAAACAGCAATGTCAGACCTATCAATGCAATACCTCAGTCCCTAGTACCATTTTCTGTGGCAATCACCATAGGAGACACAATGACTAAGGCAACTCTTATAAAAGAAAGCATTTAATTTGGGAATTGGTTAAAGTTTCAGAGATCTAGTCCATTATCTTCATGGAATACCTGATGGCATGTGGGGAGGCACTGAGGTAGTGCCTGAGAGCTGCATCCTGATATACAGGAAAAGAGTCAGAGCAAGAGAGACTGGGCCTGTCATGGGCTTTTGAAACAGTGATACACTTCTTCCAATAATCCCACATGTTCTAATCTTTCTCAAATAGTGCCACTCCCTCGTGACTAAACATTCATATTTATGGGCCCATTGAGCCATTATCAACAATTACAATCTCATTGTGGGGATAAAATATTTTATTATTACTTGAGGGATTTTATCCAGGCAAGCTGTTTTTCACAAGAAATGGTGTATTGTTTCTGTGAGC